CTTTGCTGAAGTGTTTGTTAGATTTGGGAATTTTGAATGCTATCAAAATGAGTATTGCATTAAGGCGAATCGTCTATCAGCATTAGAACTAAACCTCTTCTTCATACACTTTCATACTAAATAAAAGTCAAGTACTAATATTATTTTGAGAGATTCACCGAAACCAATTACTTTAGAACGGGATAGTAATTGTATTATAAAGAAGGGCTTAGCGTAATCCTGACATAAGATGTATTCAACCTATTTTATTTAAGGTGAAAAAGGATTGGTAGTTGAATTTTCACACAATTAAACGAGCGGAGTTGAGGTTTCCATTACAATTCATATAGCCTTGCTTTCACAAAAGTTGTTTTGATCCCGACTGGAGTGGACTGCAGTTTCGAGCTCACCTCGTTTGCCTCTTATCAACACCCCCAGCGGGAGTCGAACCGTGGCAGTGCTAACGGAAAAACATATCACAACAATTCCTCAATTACTTTAAATCAACTTTTCTTTAGAAATGTAATGTCACATCTCACCATTTCATGAAATCCGTCCAACTAAATTTTCTTTCGAAACGGAAATACATATTACACAAATTCTTTAAATCCTTCAAACCGATTTATGCTTTGAAATATACAGTCCTGTCGCATCCATTCATGATTCACCCTCAAGCAAATTTCCTCTGATCTGGAAATTCATGACACACCCCTTCCGTAATTTCTTCCAATCAACATTGGACTATCATGTTTGGTAGTTGAATTTTCACACAATTCGTGACAGTGCGTGATGCGAGCTGTCACAGTTCGACTCCCGCTGGGGGTGTTGATAAGACGCAAACGAGGTGAGCTCGAAACTGCAGTCCACTCCAGTCGGGATGAGAAGAACTTTTGTGAAATCAAGGCAATGTACAATTCAATGGAAGCGTCAGGTATACTCATAGGATTGTGGGAAAATTCTACTGCCAGTCCTTCATCACTTTAAACGAAATTGTGTGAATACATGTCATATTACTGATTTACTGGTGGTCTCGAAACTCTTCTAACATACGAAAATTAATGCAGCTCCTTTCGCTTCATGACAATCCTCCTTCACTGTTTAGTGAGTCTAATTAGCGCCAAGTTTTCCTCTACTACAGCAAGTCGAGTCATGCAAGTTAAGTGAGAGATTCTTCGTAATCCAACTTGTCTTTGTATGCAGACGAGGAAGATGCTTATGGGAGGATATTTCGAGAGATGCGCTCGAAAGGGTTCATGTCTTCCCGACAGACGTTCCGAGGTGCCGGCGATACATCTTGCCTCATTAAGGCAGAACAGATGTCCGAATCCATTCCTGCCCAATCCACCTTTGCCCCATTCACAACCCCCTCAACCCCCGAACGACTGCCGCCAACAAAGGCACGCAGATTGTGCAAATCATATGCCCACCAACTTGACGTCTGCTAGACGAGATCTTGACAGGCGAGAGGGTGTTGGTCCACGTTGATGAGTTGCATAATTATGGCCTACAATTACACTGTGATATGGCTTCATACTCTCTCCGGCGAGGTGTGAATCCATGCAGCATCGACCATCCTCGGGCCCACATGCTTAGCAAAACTCCAACACGGAACCATACTACTCAAGTAAAACCGTGTTTCGACATGGCTTCAACTTGCGTGGAAAACACTTACACCCCGTTCCTTGTTCGAATCCCGCCAAGGCTGTAGATGAAGGGATGAGGCGAATGCGAAATCTTAGTCAAAACCAATAATAGGAACACTCCATACTAAGACTTTTTTATTTACCAATAATATTAACATAAAATATTATAGCATTTTAACATTATATTTGCATATACATATATATACATATATACTATAGATTATCTATTAATTTGCTGTTTCTTGTTTTCGCAACTTGGTCATAGATGTAGGTTTACTTGTCTCTTTGACGAGTTGTTGTGTGGTGCTGAGAAGGGCGAGACTCACTGTTGATGCCGGCGAAACGTTTGGGAATGTACCACGTCCAGGGTCCGACTTTGGAAAGTATTATGCATACAATGGACTCCGGACTAGGTGTGCTCCTCTAAGTCTTCCTACCAACGTGACCAAGTTGCGAAAACAAGGTCAACCAACCTCTATACAATAATAGATAGCTCATTGAAATAATCCGACTGGGGTAAAAATGATATGGTGCCACTTTAGGCCTGTTTGCAGTCTCATTTTATTGTATAATATTGAATTTGCCTGGTTTTCGCAAAGTAATATTACTATAATCTTATATTTCATAATATGAC